GGGGGGGTTTGCTGCCGACAGCTCTTTCAAAGGCTCTCCCAGGTGGCTGGGGCCGTGTGCCTGGAGGGGACCGGGAGAGAACTTGTATGATACTTCACATGAGGATTTCCTGCCCTTGAGAGAGACCCTCACCACAGAGCCTCTGCTCTTGTCACAGGGCTCTTTTAGGTGCGAGATGTGTGGGAGGCACCCTCCCTTTACTGGATTTGTCTAGCCCCATTTCTGGTAGCCCCAAACCCTTGCAGGGGAAAAGTATGAGGAAATCCAGTGAGTCCAGATATTTTCTTGTACTTTGTAAAGGGCACCTCTCCAGGTCCCATTCCTGAGGAGCAGGTATGGCCGTAGCCTCGAGTGAGGGCTTTTCCCTCCTCTCTCTTCTCCTCCTCTTCCTTTCTCTAATTGACTGTGGGCTGCTTCTCTTTGAAAGGTGCTTTCAGACACATTCAATGAACTTTCACAGTTATTTTGAGCTTGCTTTATGCGGTGGACTTCCTCTGTGCTTCCCCCACCTCCTGTCCCTGACCTGCTCTGTTAACCATCTTGCATCCCGCTTTCTGTTCAGTTCGGAGGAGTCCTGCACCGACTTTATTTGCCTGAGGCTGAAAAAGATGCCAAACTGCCCCAAAGGTGCCCCCAAAGAAGCATTCACTCATGGACTCAATAGGGTAGAAATAATTTTGCTTTTTAAAATTTGTTTTATCATTACATTTTGGATAGAGTTGAGGGACAAGGCAGATGCTTAAATTGGGCTAGAGTTGAGGGACAAGGCAGATGCTTACCTGGGCCAGGTGGAAAAGAGAAGGACGCCTTTGCCGATGCCTTGGTTAGAGTGGCACCTCGGTCGGGTTGAAAGCAACTGCGTTTGTTGACTTTCAGGATGTGGAAAGGTTCACTGTGCTTTTGTGTCTGCTCAAGAGTTTCTAGTCTTAGTGTATCATAAGCATGATATTATCCTTATTTCCCATTAAGCTTTAAATTTTTAGAATTTGAATTTTTCTCCATTTCTCATCTTGCTTGCAAATGGTGACATTCTTTTATCCTTGGGTCACTGTTGTCCAGAACCTGACTGATCATGAGGCTCCCCTGGGGTGTTTGTTAAATTCTAGCACCCAGACTTCTCCCCTGGAGAGCCTGATTCCGTACTTTCAGAATGATTGCTGGAAAACTCTATTTTAAAACAAACATTCTCGGTAATTCTTAATATGTTTAGGCTGCCTTAAATATTGTAAAAATGTCTGAAGCTTAATAAGAAGAGAAATGCTTTTATGTTCAAACACACTGCTTTTTTGTTTCTGGAGAATTTTAGGTGTTAATATTTTTACCAGCATATATTCTTTTAAAATGAATATTTAATCCAGCATACCATTAAAAACATCTCAAAATGTTAAAAAATCGCAGACAGGTTTTCTCATCAACCATTTGATATGTTTCATGGGGTCTTGTGATACCAGCTGTGGCTAGTAACCTCTTCAAAGTTGTGAAACTCAAACTAGGTGCTCCTTTACTCCACCTTCAAGCATCTTCATTGGGTCCTTTACTTGGAGTAACCAAAAAGCCTCTGTTCCCTGGGTCCAGGCAGTAAAAGGTTGCTTACTCTAAAAACCGGATGTTCAGTGGACAGTGGACAAAGACCCAGCTAACGGGACAGTTGCTCAGCGAGCCCGATTGTTTGCACTGAGCCAGGTCTTGCTTAGGGTTGACAAAGCTTAGCTTCTCTGTTAGTGTTCTAGTTGTTTTGTTGAAGCCACTGATAACTTACGGACACCGTGTCCTGAGATTACCGTTGTGATGCTTGTCAATATTTGAAAGTCACTGTGAAAGAAAGCTTGTTGCCTTTCCCCTGACTTGTCACTTTATTGCACTCAGGTGAGAGAGATTTATTTTTTAATTTTTTAAATTTTTATTTTTTAAAGGTTTATTTTTGAGACGGTGAGAGAGAGAGGGAGAGAGAGAGAGGAGAAGCAGAGGGAGAGAGAGGAGAGACAGAGGAAGAGAGAGAATCCCAAGCAGACTCCCACTGAGCACAGAGCCTGACGCGGGGCTTGATCTCACGACCCCAAGATCATGACCTGTGTTGAAACCAAGAGTTGGTTGCTCAACCAACTAAGCCACCCAGACACCTGGGGGAGAAAGATTTAGAAGTGATTTTTGACCTTGTGAAACTAAAAACTAAAGTCTCCTTTTAGAATGTTGATGATACCCTTTGGTGGTTGTTATTGGGTTCGCTTTGAAATGGAAATGATAGCAGGCTGTGTGCCATGGTCCCCTGCATTGAGTGCTCTGTGACATTGCCAGGGATGACCTGAGAGCCACTACTTGGCACTTTGAAGTGGTCCTGTTGCTCAAGGTACACACTTAATAACTGTCTCCTTTACAGAAACAAAACTTTCAGAACCACTCCATGGCTTGTTGCCTAGAGTGAGGGATCCAGGAGAAACAGAACAATGTTGAGATGTTTGCTCCCAAATGTATTGGTGGTCTGTTTGGTCCTCATTCTTTTATAAAGATGAGCAGTTGGGATGTTTTGGTCAGATGGAGACTGAGACTTTTGCACATATACAGTATTGAGAAGTAGATGAAGAAGGTAGATGTTTGTATTAGGTGGTACAATAATTTCTGGCTTTCTGCTGTCATACATTTAACTTCTCTGTGGTTTGAGATTGAGGGGTCAAGATGCTACAGTCATTCTCTGGATTTTTCCTCAGCGTGATTTCGGTCTCCATAGTCATTCCTCTAAGGAAATTTTCCTCTGTTCGTTCTTACATTTATTTGCACATTCATTCCCACATCTATCTGATTGTCTAGTATATGCTAGGCAGTGTGGGCTGTAAGCGTGCACAAGGTAAATAATGTCATCTCTTCTCTCAGTAATCTCTTGTCTACTGGAGGAAATCCTTTAAGGCTTTCAGGCATTTCTTTCTTACTTAGTTTTTTTTAATAGGTTTTTTTCTTATAACATTTGTACATTCTGGTTGTAATTAAAAAATTAAAACATTGCATAAATAGATAATACCTAACATTAACCAAGCACATTATCTAAGGTACTTTACATATATTATCTCATTTAAAATTCATAACCATCCTAGGAGAGAAGTACTATTATTGATGGTTTACTGGGAGGTTGAGGCTGTTGCCCCAAGTTACAGAGCTGGGCTGTGGAGGAGCCTGGACTGGACCCAGGCAGTCTGATTCCAGATTCTTGCTGTGCATTGCAATCAGTCAAGAGTGGAGTGGATTTAGGATGTGAGGCTCCTTTGATATCACATTGTAAGTCTTTCCTACTTTATGTCTGAGGGCAATCAGTGAAGAATCTTAGTTTGAGACAAAGTAGAACGGAACCCAGGTAAGATATGGCTTACTGTAGGGGTCACGTCAGGGCTTACCTTCTGCTCATAATGAGCTTCTGATTTGATTAAAATAATATTGTTGCTTACACCAAACATGACATTTTTTTTTTCTTTTGCACACATGAAACTAGACTTGACATTTAACTCCAGGATAATTACCTTGAGCAGGCTTGAAGAATCAGAAACTTTGCCTTGGCTGGCATTTATCTTAGTCCGGAGTGACCTGAGTTTGTAATTCTAATGAGACCACAAGGACCAGCCTGCCTTCTTTCTCCTCTTGATGTACACTCTGTGGGATTTGGCGGTCTCCGTAGCAGAACTGGGGTGGCAGTGAGCATCTGATTTGCTCACTTGATCTTAACATCTCAGCCGTCATGAGTTTCAAGGGCAAATGGGGCTTATTGATAGAATAGTGGCTGGCTCAGTCAGTAGAGTTGGTGACAAGAGAGGTGGTATGGCTTAGTGGATCAGTCATTAATCTGTCACCACAGAAACTCGGCTTGTAATAGAGAGTAGCAGAAAATCATTTTGATTAAACAAGTTCAAGGAGACTTAAATGAGTTTGTGATCCTGACTCTTTAATGAACCCACTATCTTAAATCCCCTGTACTAAATGACCACTGATAGAAATAATTATTTCACAGGAACCATTGTAAAGAGACACCTTGGGAGTCAGTAGGCCTGAGACCATTCTCGTGTTTTTTTGTCCTTACCTTCAGTTTGTCCTTGCCAGAGAAAACCTAGTTCTTGCCTGGCAAGGATGGGA